CCTCGGCGAAGGAGGTGTGTTGTCTCAGACGAGACACTGAACACTATAGAGATGAGTCGTGCTGCCAGACTGGATAGGAACCATGTCTTGCAGAGGGAGCTGTCTCGCTCTGCTAGGACCTCATTGAGAGTGGACCAAGAGAGGTACGTTAGGGGCATCGTGGAAGAGTTGGAAGGTCATTTTGCCCAAAATGACCTTCGACCTGCTTTCCGAGCCCTGAGGGAACTCCGATCAAAGTCCAAGGTCTCTTAATCAGGCTCAGTGATAGCAGAGGATGGTCGCATTGTTTCAGAGCCTGGTGAGCATAGGGCCCGCTGGGCTGAGTACTTTGAGCAACTGTAAAGGGTAGATCCCCCGTCTTCACAACTCCCGTTGGCTGGCACACAGCCACTAGTGGCTGATCCACCAATCAGTGAGGCACCACCTTCCATCGAAGAGGTGAGAAGGGCAGTGTCTAAGCTGAAAAGTGGAAAAGCTGCTGGTGTCTGTGGGATTGCTGCAGAGTTGTTGAAGGCAGGTGGAGAAGCCATGATCTGTGGTTTGCATGCAGTCCTGTCTGCCGTTTGGGAGACTGGTACCATTCCCCCTGACTGGAAAAGGGGCTTGGTCATCCCTATCTGGAAAGGGAAAGGGGACCAAAAGGACTGTGGCAACTACAGAGGTATTACATTGCTCAGCGTACCAGGCAAAGGTCCTCGTTCATCTGCTTCTGGCACGAGTGCGCGACCACCTATTACGAGCACAGAGACCTGAGCAGTCTGGTTTTACACCCAAGAAGTCAACTATAGACCGTGACTTAGCACTTCGTGTCCTTGTGGAACGCCGACTTGAGTTTCAACACGGTATGCTTGCAGCTTATGCTGATCTCAAGAATGCTTTCGACTCAGTGCACCAGGAGAGTCTCTGGAGCCTACTGGGTCTCTGTGGGATCCCCCCTGGAATTATTGGTTTGCTGTCTGGCCTGTATACAGATACTGAGAGTGCTGTCAAGTGTGGGGAGGGCATCTCTGCCTTCTTCCCGGTGTCTGCCGGGGTGAGACAGGGATGTGTCCTGGCCCCAACCCTTTTCAACACTTGTTTGGACTTGATACTTGGCTGTACCGTGAGCCGTAGTTCCTATGGGGCATCAATTGGTAATTTCAAGGTTACAGACCTTGACTTTGCCGATGATGCAGTGATTCTAGCGGAGACATTAGAGGTCCTGGAAGTAGCTCTCGAGGCGCTGCATGAGGAGGCGAAGCCGTTGGGACTCTGTCAACTGGACCAAGACCAAGGTTCAGGAATTTGGGGACTTTTTGGATGTTGATGTTCAGTCTGTGCATGCCTGTGGCGAGAACACTGAGGTCTTGGATAGCTTCACTTATCTTGGTAGTGTAGTGCAGAGCGACGGAGGTTCCGACCGGGAAGTCACTCGACGACTCGGACTGGCCTACGGCGTTATGGACTCACTCAATAGGAGTATTTGGCGCTGTCGGTATTTGACCAGGAGAACTAAGATCAGGCTCTTCAGAGCACTGGTGATCCCGGTCTTACTCTATGGGTGTGAGACCTGGACAATGAACAGTGCTCTGAAAGCCCGTCTTAACTCCTTTGGTACTAAGTGTCTTCGCAGAATCATGGGGTATACCTGGAGGGACCATGTGTCCAATCAGAGGATACTCCATGAGACTGATTCAAGACCTATTACCAGTCTGATACGAGAGCGCCAACTTCAGCTCTATGGACATGTGGCTCGTTTCCCTGTGGAAGATCCGGCTCATAGGGTCATCTCCGAGAGGGTTGACCCAGGCTGGAGAAGACCAAGGGGAAGGCCACGGAACTCACGGCTGAAGCAAGTCGATCAGATCTGCCAAGATGTACTGGGAGTGGGAAGGAATGCTGGGACCCCAGGAAGTGGAGACAAAGGTTGGGCGCGGCAAAGCGCAGCCATGCGTATGCCCCCTTAGGATGATGATGATATCATTGTTGTTGTGTCTTCTGTTTATTCCGTGTCCCACTAATGTCGATAATAACACTGGTAGAAGCACCAGCAACAGCAATGCCGTTCATAAGTAGACTATGCACTCTACAGTGTTTAGAAAGTTACTCACTCGGGCGAAAACAGTGAAATATACACATCACGACTCTACCCCGTGGAAAGTAGAAGCCATAGTTTTCCATATGAAAAGGAATATTCGTTTTTTTTTTGTACATTTTCGCAGTCATCTTTGTTCAGTAGAAAGGTTGAGTGAGGCAGACAGAGAGAGAGGGGGGGGGAGCCAGAGGCAGGAACAGAGACAGAAACAGAGACATAGAGAGAGAAAGAAAAAATGGTATTCTGGTATTCGGAAAATCATAAACATCTTTTACTTAAACTAATAAATCAAATGAACACACTAAACGTAAATTCCACTTACTCCGAAGGAAACGACGAAACCATGCTGCACGCCAGAGCAATTGCAAGCAACTGCAGAAGGATCTTCATACCAGTCAGTCTCATGGCCGCGTACCGCTTTCGCCG